GATTCCCAGAGGAATTATGGTGTAATTATTTTAGTCTTAAATGTGTCCTGTAGACGCCGTGAATTTCCTACCACCGTTTTCTCTGTTTATTCGCTACTGGATCAGGATCCTTTTTTATGTGTTCCAACAAGACTGCACATGTTTTTATTTCTGGATCAAGGGATAAATTGTGCCAATGAGTGACCTCATCAAAGACTACAACTTCCTTGTGAGGGGAAGAGGAGGGGCAGGCTCTGATCTCTTCTCTGTCGTGACCAGTGACGGAACCGGAGGGAATGGCCTGAAGTTGTGTCAGACAAGGTTTAGGTTGAATATTGGAAAAAGGTTTTTCACCCAGCAGGTGATAGGGTACTGGAACAGGCTCCCCAGGGAAACAGTCACAGCAACACACCCAGCAGAGTTTGAGAAGTGTCGGGATGATACTCTCTGGCACATGGTGTGACTCTTGGGGTGGTCCTGTGCATGGCCAGGAGTTGGACTCAGTGATCCTTGTGGGTCCCTTCTAGCTTAGCATATTCTGTGATTCTGCTGATAGGAAACAAGGAGAAAAGGAAACTCCAGAGAACTGAATGATTCCTATTCATTCAAAAATTAGATGGATATCCAAAGAAACTTCCTTAACTTGTTTTTTTGAGACAGGTGAATCTTTCCAAACCCAAAGAAGTATTTATCTGTCCCTGGTACTGCTGTTATGACAAACTGAAGAAGAATACTGTGTGAGAAACATTAGTGTAACTCATTACCAACTTTCTAATTACAATAAGGGTTGTGAGAAATACCTGTTATTTGCTCCTGCTGCTACTAGGTACTTGTATCCCTGTCTTCAATGAGTTGTGTATTGTGTGGTTTATGTAAAACTGACTTCATTAAGAACAAATTCTTTTTCTTTTAAAACAGTATGAAAGTGATGACAGACCAAGAGAAGAAGTCAGTTACAGGCAGCTTAAGTCTGTGGAAAGAAAACCAGAACTACTTAATGGTCATATACCTGCAGGCCACATTCCTAAACCTATAGTGATGCCAGACTACTTAGCGTAAGTGACTTGACTTTGATGAACCAACTTAATGGATAATACTTGAATGATGTTTTTTACTCAGCATTTCTCATATATACACATGTGGTTTCTATGCCATGCATGTGCTGTCTTGAACTCATTCTTTGTTAAGTTAATGTTAAAAAATAGAGAGGATGAGGGCTGGTATCAGTGGCATTCAGTGGCATAAACCAGTAATTATAAATAAAGAATCTTAATGGAAAAAAAGAAACCCACATACACCTCAAATGTTAAAGCAGAAAGTTATCATCTAGCAAGTACAGTAAGTGCCAAAGGAACAGAAGACCACCATACAGACATTATAGAAAAAAGTAAAATACATGGGAAATTGCCTTTTTAGCTCCTGAAGTTTGACTACTCTTGTACTTTCTAAGTGTTAAATCTGTAACATGCTCCCTTTTAGAGGGGTGATCTTTCTGTGATTAACTACGAGATCATAAAGTAATTTTTATACTCTTTGCCATAGACCAGGGCACAAACTGAAACCCGTGAGGTTTCACCTGAATATTAGGAAAATATTTTTCACTGTGAAGGTCTGCACAGATTGCCCAGAGAGAGTGAGTCTCCGTCCTTGGAGACATCAAAAGCCATCTGGACACAGTCCTGGGCAGCCTGGCCTAGGTGGCCCTGACTGAGCTGGAGGTTAGACCAGATGAACTGCAGATGTCTCTTGCAACTTCAGCCATTCTGTGATTTCAGTGCTTTACAGGCGTGCAGATTTCAGCAGGTTGTGAGATTAGCAAACAATACAGAAATACACTGTCAAGGTGAAGGGGCCAAATGTTTGTTAAAAAGTCCTGTCTCTAAAACTAGTTCTTGAAATCGTGTTTGTTTGTGGGTTTTTTTTTAAGGAAATACCCAGTAATTCAAACAAATGAAATGAGAGACCGGTACAAAGCAGTATTCAATGATCAGTTTGCTGAGTATAAAGAACTGTCTGTGGAAGTTCATGCTGTATTGAAAAAGTTTGATGAGCTGGATGCGTTGCTGAAACAGCTTCCCCACCATCCTGAAAGCATATATGTAAGTACTTGTGAAATGGGCTCACAGAAAACAGTGGTATTAGGTGGTATTATTAGGTAGTTTCTGACTGTCTTTAGATAGGACACAGTGTTTTGTAGGGCTGGCTGTGACTTGGTGGGAGAGAAAGTTTTCCCATATATGTGACATCTTGTCTGATCATTAGTTAAGCACACCAAGTTGTAGTTAAGACATATACCTGCTTTTCTGTGTTTTTTTTTCATTTGTTTGTTTCATACTAGTAGTTTTTACATTTGAGTGAATCACAGTTAATGTACTTCCACTATTTCTCAAATACAAGATTTACAACTGAAATGTTACAACTATAATGAGAATTTTGCTTTTGATGAGTATTTTGTAGAATTTACATGAAGATATGGAGCATGCTCAAAGTGTTTAAAAATCTGTGGTCTCTCATTAGGAACAGGAAAGGATATCAAAAGTTCTGCAAGAATACAAGAAGAAAAAAAATGTAAGTATTTTTAGATTTACGCTGCTAGTGAATCTAATTAATAGCAAAGAGAGTGTAAATAGCCAACAGTTCTGACACTAGGCACAATTCACTAGCTCAGGGTATCTGTAGACACGACAGGACAATGTGTATTTTCTCTTCTAAAACTTTGGAAAAGTTAGGACACAAACCCACACACTCATGCCAACAACCTGTTTTGAGAATGATGATTCCGGTAGCCAGATGTGGAAGAAAAACCCAAACCACAAGCACACAGTTAAGCATTTTCATCTTCTGAGAGTATGTTGCATCTCTTAGCATTCTGCACTCAGAAAACTAGTTATTTTTGGGGATCCATTTGGGGTTCATTTATATTCACTGACTGACACAGCCAACAGATAATAACAGAAAACACAGTCTTACCTTAGAAAAGTAGTTTTGTATTTTTTGAGGCATGGAATTTAGGCACTCTGAAAAAGTAATTTTCAGTGTCATCCAAGAGGTCATTTTTAATTGTGGAGAGCAAATGTGTATCTGTGTTCCATTAAAACCATAATACATTACAAATACCATTTTTCTTCCTCCATGGAATTCAAAGTTTGTGTCTGCATTAGTTAAACTTCATAGCTTTTTGGAGGGGAGGGATTTATTGCATTTACTACAGCACACCTATAAAATCTAAATTATGTAGTAGGATGTCATTTATATTTGCAGATTTCCGTTTTAAAACTGCTCTGTTTACTAAGTAACTACAACATATAAAAGCAGAACATCTTTTTCTAGCCTTTCATGAAGGAAGGGGAAGCAGGACATAAAAAATTGTGTCCAGGGGAAAAAAAAAAGTGATTTTGGAGACAACTTATATGCTGTCCTTTGTCAAGAACATAACTGATAATAGACTATTCTTGGAAGAATATGAAAATGTAATATATTAATGTAAAGGTTTTTGTATTTTTGGCAGGATCCTGCATTTCTGGAGAAAAAGGAGCGTTGTGAATACCTAAAGAATAAGCTTTCTCACATAAAACAACGAATTCAGGACTATGATAAAGTTATGAATTGGAATGTAGAAACTTAGCTATGCCTTCACTTCATGGATACTATTTTCTGGTTTTTAAATTGATATGCATATTTTAACATATTTATTTACTCAGAACAGTACAGCTACGGGGATTAGTTAATCATTCTGTTGCTTATTTAGATGTTGTATATTACTGGTAGGTTTTGTATGAAGATCCAATTTTAAATCAATGTAATTGAAGTTATCAGATAACTTTAGAAAAAGTCTTCTAACATTCTGTTTTCATTAGTGGAAATCCTGACCTCTTAAATATGACTGCTTTATTTGAAAATACTGTATTTGCAAACTTGCAAAGCCCACCAGAGAAGGCAGTTCTAAATACCGTGTGGAAATTCTGCATAGAAATGCTGTTAACAATTTCAGATTTTATTTTTAAGTGGTATCTAAATGATATCAGGAAGAGCTGAGCTGTTCTTTCTGTCTGGGTTTTGATGGAGTGCTTCATCATATTGAATAATTTTGTCAATTCAGAAGTTAGTTTAATAAGAATTTTTGTATTGTATTTCCAAATGCTGTACTGTGTGCCAGAAATTATGTTGAATTTCACCCAGTGAGAGATGAAAAATAATTTCCTATTTAAGCAACGTGGAGAGGGGCACTTTGGTTTGAGTTTTTTATTCCCCTCTTTAGAGATGATGCAACAAATTTATACATGGAGTAGAGGTACAGGATGGGACTCACATTAATGTTCCATTAGTGTTGCTATATGTCATTAGGCTCTGCATGCCATTTCTGGGTCATGCTATGATCAGCACAGGTGTTTAAAGGCAAAACACTTTATTCTTCATCAGCAAGTAACAGGACATTTTGTCTAGGCAGCAGATGTTTGTGAACTTGGCATTCAGAGAGTTAAGCAAAATTAATTAATTCAAAGTATAAATTGTTAGTATCATTTATAAGGCCAGGTAAAACATATTAACAGACATTCTTTCTGGAGCATATCTGCAAAAATTCAATATATATTTTTATATTTTCTTGGGGATATTATCATGGGGATAGGTTTGTATGTGTAGATGTTTTCATAAGCCAGTAAACTTTGTATCCTTTTTCACATCTTTGTTAATTATTTTTACTTACTAAAATTGTTAGAAGCATTGATAGTTTCTTTGTACAGTTTTTTACAACCTCAATTTGTCTGTTCTGAAATATATTTTAATATTAAAAACGCAGCCATATTACTCTATTGCTTATAAAAGCATTTTGTTAGAAAAAGCTGTTCTGATTAAGGTTGTTGCAAATTTTTATTAGGGATCATTTTTTCTTTAAAAGAAAGTTTTTAACTTTTGCCTTAATTTAAAGGAAAGACATCAGGAAAGCCGTTTCCAGTTCATAATGGTCATGGTAGTACTACCTCTGTCCTTCACTTCTGTTAACATACCTCACTCTGACAGTTAAAGCCCTTCTGACTTTTCAGCCCTTATCATTCACACTGCAATCCTGATGGCCACACACCCACCTTCATATTTATAAAGTTGACATTCCAATTTTATCAGCCACTTAATTCCAAGAGTTTTAATGGATGAAGTAAATAGCACAAAACACCATGGGAACACTGAGAGAATTTGAAAACTTGGCACCTCTTCATGTGAAAACCTTCAGTCCCATCTACCTTGAAGGTGCCTCAACATTTTCATCAGTCTGAAATCAGATGACAACCTTGTTCTCCCTCTCCCTTCAGATGCCACTCTCTCTCGTTCTAGTTTGTGTTAATTTCAAACAGGAAATCTCTCTACTTTATAAAGGAGATGGGCCAAATGTTTATACCTGTTGCACTGTATATTTGTTAAACTTTTCTTTGTAAGAGAGATACTTGTCCAAATCCCCAAAATCTAAATAAATGACCTCTCACTTTACATCCAGTTTTCTCATTTTTTTTTTCTCATTGAGCGTTGTGGGCATTGCATCAGTTATAGGAGAAGAAGAGGAACACAACTTTAAGGTTCAACTGGTGTTCATAAAGTGCTAAAAATAAGCTGACTGATACTTTCTTTGGAACATTCACAGTCTGCACCCTTAATAGGTCTTCTTTCCATAGGACACTGACATCCAGCCCCAGGCTCTCTTTGACAGTGGTCTTGAGGTTCAGTCTTTGAGGAACTGGCTCCTGGTCCCTCAGACAGTGTCTCCACAACCTGTGAAGAGCTATCGTGCTTCTCCTTTCCTGCAAAGTTTCCAACAAAGGAGCTGGGAAAACGGAACAGTATGCCTGTGGGTGGAACAGGCAAGTAAACCAAGTGGAGACAGCTGTATGTGGATAGCTATGTTACTGGGTGTGGACCATGTTTCCTAGAAAGATGCCACCCTTGTGTCCAAGGGGGTTTTTCAAAAGTTGGAGAGAGAAGCTGGGGAGAGAAATATTCGTTTCTGACTGCTTTTTGGGGTCCAAACAGGATTAGTGCAGTGCATGGCAGTGGGCTTGCTTAGTGTGGAGCCTCATGAGAAGGCATTTACTTCACTACTGGACTTCCCAAGTTACCATCCCAAGGCATGCAGGGCATCCTTAGGTTGCAGCAGGGCAACATGTTGCAACCATTGCAGTAAGTTACTTGCCTAGTCCTGTATCTCTTGGGACCTCAGGACTGTTAAGGCACTTTTGGTGCATACAGTCAGCTGGTTTTGCTCTAACCTATCAGTGGAGGACTGAAAAAGGTCTGTCTTGTGATGCCTCAGAGCTTTTAGGATTTTTTTTAGCTTTTTGTAGATTATAGAAGTAGTTGTGTAGTAAATGTAGATTTTAAGGTAGCTGTATAATCCCTTACCCTTTAACATAGTAGTTTACAAATACCCAACCTTATTACCCCATTTCATATCAAACCCTCTAAATTGCTTTAGCGTGTTTAGTTTTCTTTTCAAGGTAGGATTGTAGAAAACACCTCTTTTTAAGAACATTGCACCCTAGGCCTGAACAATGAGATACCATGACAGACAAAGCGACCTTCCAGCCCAGGACTTTGGAGGAGCTCCAAGGGCTGTACTGCTGTGAAGAAGATGAAGATGAGGAAGAAGGGGTCCCAAAGACCCCAGACCCAGTTCCCGAAGGGGTGTGTCAGGGGCAGAACTGGGCAGAACCAAGGGGGTGGATAAATCTGGGATTGGATGGGTCTTATTATAAAACCACAGAACCACTGCCTGGGTGCGAGTGTGTCGCATGTATTCCCCTGGGCCTGAGGGCCTGATTAAACGACCTGCTCTTTTATCATATATACTAAATTGGCCTGGAGTTTTTTTTCTCTGTGGTCTCTCGGCCCATCAGTTCTCAACAGTGCTCTGAACATGCCAAAGAAGAATTATTAGTTTAAGAAACATTTTCATCTATAGAAGAAATTGAGATTAACGAAATAAGAATAAATGGCTGGGAGTTGCAGCAAGTTGGAGCAAGACAAAAATTAGGAGGGAATTGAAAATTAGTTACCATCAGAGCTATCAGGGCAAGTAGTCTCTTGATATCCTGAAAGAATAGAAGGTGTACTCCAGACAAAACTGAAGTTGTTAAATGATTATCACCTCAGTCTCTTCATGCAGAGTCTCTGGGCTCAACTCTGTGAATCTACATTTTTGCATGTACATGTTAACAGTCTATGTGGTCTTACTCGTGTGACTGGATTTTTGCAGAAGGTGTAGTTAACATGTATTTGAATCTTACCAAGTAGTACTGTCCTACATCCACAGGCATGTAGTGTCTACTTCCAATTACAGCCTGTCCTCAGACCCTGTGTATAACAAGAAGTTTTATCCTTCTTAGAAAATGCTCTCCTGTCTCCACAGATCTAAAGCAAATTACCCAAGAGACTTACAGTTTCTAGGAATAAATTTAATAGTTTCCAAACTGGACCTTTTTTTTTCCTTTTTTGTCTCTGAAAACAGTTGGATGTCCTTGATCAAGGTAACTGTGGCAATATCTGCATACTTTTTTACCGAACTGTACATTTTTTCAGGCCAGATAAAGCAATGCCTAACAGATGTACCCAAAAGTTTGGATAGCATAATAGGTGGATTAGCTTCCGTGACAGCACACTCATGGCAATGAAAAACCTAATTGATTTGAAATCGTAAAAGAAGGTATCCAGTATTTAGTTCGCTAATCTCAAAATTGTGATGGAATTTCAAGCACTTGGACAATCATAATCTACAAAATTATTGTATATCCTGTATTCCAGTCAAGTATTGAAATTCTTGGCCTTGACAATAAAAAATATCGGTGTTCTGAAAGAAGTCTCATTTCTCTCCTATAAAATTGTCAGCTTGCAGCCATTTTCCCTTTCAATGTTTTATAAATTGGATTTTTTCCTCCTAAAGAAAGGATGGCATGTGTTCTAACGGGAATAGATCAAAGTACAGATATTTCAGTTCCAAGAAGCAAATCTTGGCTTCTCAAACTATGGAATCCCCCTTTTCCCTGGCTTCAGTAGATTGCTTTCCTTAAAAAAATTGTGAATTTTCCCCAGGCATGGTTTAATTGAAAGCAAGTTAATTTCACTTCTCTTTCCCTTATAAATTGCTCCCAATAAGCGCAACAGAAGTGTACAGCAGGGTACAGCAGAAGTGGCAAGTTTTTTCCCTGCTCCTGTTTCAGGAAGTGTTGCTACTGTTTACACGTTTTCTTCCTCATTTATTGTCTTACTCGGATGCAGAGTGACGCACCCCTCTCCCCCTTAGGAACGGATACTCAGCACTTTTCCTGTAATTGAAGAGGTGAAACCCAATCTTGGCACATTTCCACTGTATCCCTAGAGTTTCGGTTGCTCTGCAGAGCAGTCAGCACTTAGCTCAGCTGGCTCTGACCTAATCCTTACCGCGATGCTAACGAAATGGAAACTCTTGGTGACATCAGATGGATGCTCAGAATTATTTTAGGTAGATGCAAAACATAAACACGTAACATCAAAATGCCTGAAAGTGTTTGCTTTTGCTATACCAGGGCGGTAGATAGCTGCTTTAATTAACTGGCCTATGAGCATAACCGTGTTAAAATTCAGTGCTACAGCATGGCCTTTCCAGGCTCTTGGGCTCTTCTGTTAATTGCTAGAATTGTTTCAGTTAATTACAGAAACACAGGTAAACCCAGACGGTGCCATGACTCCGAGAGGTGAAGGAGTCACCTCACAGAAACATCACATGTTTCTGTCACCTCACAGAAACACCACCGCCGGGGCCTGGCGCCCGCACGAGCGATGTCTCCGTGAGGCGTTTTCCCCATGCCCTCATCCTCCCCACGACTTAAGGGGAGTTCTTTGGAGGTGGTGCGGAAAACACAACGGAGCGCCCCCGGAACGCTCGCTCGGCGGCCCGGGCGGCGGCGGGGAGGGTTTGGCGGCGCACCGAGGCGAAGGAGGGCGGGCGTGTCCGAGACGGCGGGGCCTGGCGGCGGCCCCGGCTCCCCTCGGCCTCCGGAGTGCCTTCAGCACCTCTCGTCTGCCCCCAGCCCTCCGCTCGGCTCCCCTCGGCCCCCTGAGCCCACCTCGGCTCCCCGCATTACCCCGAGCCCCCTTCGTCTCCCATCAGGCCCCCCAGGCCGCCTCAGCCCACCGCGGAGATGGATGACGAACCCGAGCGGACCAAGCGCTGGGAAGGAGGCTACGAAAGAACATGGTGTGTTCGTCCCCGTTCCCCTCCCTCACCCTATTTCTGGCGAAAGAGGAGAGAAAAATCTCCTTTCCGCTCGCTAACACTCTGCTTTGCGTAGGGAAATTCTTAAAGAAGACGAATCCGGGTCGTTGAAAGCAACCATCGATGATATCCTCTTCAAGGCAAAGAGGAAAAGGTACTTTTCGTGGCCACAAGCCTGCAGATAGCCCTGGCTTGATCATACTGAAAGTGGGCTTTTGTGTCCTTACCCCTTCATGCTTCCCTTCATGCTTATTGTGCTGTGAGAAATTGTAAAATGAACTTTTAACTTTAATCTAAGCACTGTGTGTGCAGGCTGGATACCCCAGGTGTATGCAAGCTGGAGGTCTTGATCTGATGGACCGCGGTGCAGAGCACTGCAGTTGCAATCTGCACAGCTTAGAGAAATCCTCCAGCACTTTTTTTAATACACAAATCATAGAATCATAGAATGGTTTGGGTTGGAAAGGACCTTAAAAAGTTCATCCAGTACCCAACCTGGCTGCTACGGGCAACACCTCCTACTAGACCAGGCTACTCAGAGCCACATCCAACCTGGTCTTAAAAACTTCCAGACATGAGGTGTCTACAACTTCTCAGCTTCTGTGGGCAACCTGTGCCAGTGCCTCACCACCCCCATCATAAAAACATCTTTATATCTAATCTAAACCCACTCTAGTTTAGTTAAAAACATTACCCTTTGTCCTATCACAACAGAAGCTGGCGTTTGGTATCATGGGACCAGATTTCCATTTCAAATTTCAGAAAAAATGCCAGAAAAAAGTCTAACTTCTGGTTTATTTCAAGTTATGTTAAAACATTCAAATTTGGATACAATTTTAAAGCTTCATTAAACCTGGTTGTAACAAATAGTTTTTATTTGTTTTCTGAGAGAGAGGAGAGGTCTGTGGCTGAGTTGTGGGATTTTTCAGTGTAAATAAGTGTCTGCAGTTTGTTACTGCTGCATATTTGGCAGAAGTCTAGTTTAGGATTTGTTCTGGGCTTTTGTTCTGGGAGCCATTTCTTCACTTGCCTCTTACTTAAATCCTTCTGTGTTTTGTTAGACTCTATGAACACCATGGACAAGTTCGACTTGGAATGGTATCTTGATGTCTTCGCTCTCTTCTGTCCTCGATCCAAAGCTACTTGACTAAAGTTGGTGTTCCTGCACTGAAAGACAGTGTGAAAGACACAGACCTAACGTGCTTGAGACCAAACCTTGTGTTTCCCACCAGTTTTTTGGTTTTTTTTAAGCATTCTTTGTTCATTGGCAGGGTGAATGTGCAGCATGAGCATTCAGAGGTGGAATTCAGAGGTTTGGCACACGGGGTGTGTTTTGCAGTGGGAGCACGTGTACTCGCACTGTCCATTTCCCTTCATGTGAAAAATGGGTGTAACTGAAAGGGCTTGTAAATAACAATGTTGCTTTAGTCCAGCACTAAGTTCTTCAGATGAAAACATGAAGGTTCCAGTTGTGCATGTATTGCAGCTTATTGTGAGAGGAAAAGAGCAGTGTGCATTCTCCAAGAGAGGTGGTTTGGGTTTTTTTTTTTTTTTTTCATTTTGAAGGAAAAGTAGACAAATGTGTTACTTTTTCAGTTGATGTTGATTGCATGGCTCAATATTCTGAATTTTCCCAGTTTGAGGGAGGAATTAGTGGCTTTTTTAAGTAAATGGAATAAGGAATTCAGTTCAGTATGTATTCTGTGAGTGATTTTCACTTATGGTGGAAATGCAGATGCGTCACCTTTATGTGGTTGTTGATGGATCAAGAACGATGGAGGACCAAGACTTAAAACCGAACAGACTTACTTGCACTTTGAAGGTATTTCTGGACTCAGAAATGTTTCCTTACTAAGCCACTGTTCCTTTATAAACCCAGTTACATTTTGCATTTAAAAGAATTGCAGTCTCCTGTATGTGCATAGCCTCATCTTTCCTATCATCCCTGCTTTTTTTCTCCCTTGGTTCTCTTGCTAGTCTGTTATTTTCCTGTTTTTTGAATAATGTGACACTATTTTGCCATGCACATGTACTTCTGTACAGTAAAAGCACTTTGTAAGGATATATTAGGGAAAGATGCTTTATGAAAAGTATGTGGAAATTAATTGTTGCCCATAATAAGGGGATGAAAGAAAAACAGACATGTTTTCATTGCAGATCTAGAATTATTTGTATTTTTTTCTTACAGTTGGGGTTTTTTTATGAATTCTGATTTGAAAGAGTGTTAGTCAGGACTTGAATTGGATTGGTGTCTCAGGCATGGGGGACTTGAACTGTACATATTGTGCTATATGGTCTTCCCTAATAACACTGAAGCGTGAAATCCTGGGTTTTGGTGATTTTGTACAGATTGATGCTCTGTGGTGTGTTGGAAACCTCCATTCGAACCACTGGGAATCTGGAACTTGAACATATGACGTGAATAAAGTAAAAAGGGGACAAGTTTCCGAAATTTGCATTGCATTGGTAACATGGGATGAAGGAGAAGGGCTGGGGTGAAAGAAGAATAGAAAAGAATGTCTCATTCTCTTGTTTTGTTTTCCTCAGTTTTTTTTTTCCATTAATGATACTAGATGTTTTGCAAATATCACCTATTTAATGCATGGGGGAAAAACCTGTAATTAGTTCTTAACAGTCTTAATTTTTCTTCGTAGTTACTGGAATATTTTGTTGAAGAGTACTTTGACCAAAATCCCATTAGTCAGGTATGTACAACAAGTAATAGAAAGCTATTTTAGAAGGTAGTTTTAGTTTTAACAGTATCTAGTAAACTGTTCTCTGTTTATGTGTACCTTCCCATCCTATCTAGTGAAACTCTTGTTTCTGCCTGAATTAATGAATATAAGAACCTGTCTGTTCTCTTATTCCTAGTGTCAATTCTGACACAGAAGACCTGATTATATTTTTTTCAGGCACTTGGATTTTTCAAGGATTTCTTTTTGTGCAAAAGTACTGGAAATATACAGTTTGTATTAACTGATGCATCACATTGGGCTGCTGTTGTTACAGTTACAAGAACACTTGTACAGACTTGTATAGTTAAGTAATTCTGATCCATAAAGAAGTATTAGGCAAAATATAGCAAAAATATAAATCGTCCTCTTTTAAAACTTGGTAAGAAAATTTTTGACTATTTTTTTTTTCCTTTTCCAGATTGGCTTAATTGTAACCAAGAGTAAAAGAGCTGAAAAAATGACAGAACTCTCAGGTAGGGAGTTAGTTTTGGGTTTTGGGGGTTTTGTTTGTTTGTTTATTTGTTTGGGTTTTGTTTGGTTGGTTTTTTGTTGGTTGGTTTGTTTGTTTGTTTTTTAATTGGAGATGTTTTTGTCTATTTCATTGGTGTTACAAGTTTTACCTGATATGGTGCTGTAAGTGATGTTAACATATTTTTAAAAGATTAATTATTGCAAATGGTCTGAAACCATAGTCTTTATTTTGATCTGTTTTGATCTAGAAGTGGCACTGTGTGCTCTTTGCCATTGTCTTCTCCAGATTGCAGCTAAAACATGATTTGTTTCCCCTATAGTTAATTTTCTACCCGGTTTGTTAATTTTGTATGTTATGACACCTGTGTGTATGGTGAGATCCGATCAGATGTTAAAAGTAGGGTTTCTTTGGTTCCTGCCTGCTGTTACAGCAATCTCTGTGGCTTCAGAGATAAAGCAGACTTCACTGAGGAAATCGAGGATGAATCAATCTTTGAACAGTTCTTTGAGGATAACAGAAGAAACTAAACTCTTTTTTTGCTGAAACACTTTGTGAGACACTTTGCACTTATGTTGACCACTTAATGATACGCAACAGTGATTTTATTTTGTTGACTTCTTAAAGTTTCTAACAACTGGGTGCCTGTATAGTAAATGTCTTTCTGTTAATATATTGTTTTATTGTTTTCTGCATTCTGATTGGCACATCAGTTTCTAACGAAAAATAGACAGTTTTTTGTCACAGTTTGAAAACTTGTCGTAAAGGTACACTTCATTGCATATGTACTTTAAATATTTCAATTCTTTTAACTTGTTGTATCAATTGAATTGCTTGTGATTTTTTTTCACTTGCAGGAAACTCAAAAAAGCACGTAACTGCTCTGAAGAAAGCAGTGGATATGAACTGCAGTGGAGAGCCTTCTCTATATAATTCCCTAAATTTGGCCATGCAGACTTTAAAGTTAGTATTTACCTGGAGGTGTTTTTATTTTCTTAGTGATTGTGAGTTTTTTGAGAGGCAGAGACAGAATTTTTTTCGGAGGAGCATCTTGCATCATGCTGACTTGAGTTTTTAATTATGTTCTCTTACAATACAAATAAGAAGTTAAATAATGCTGGTAGTGCAGAAGTTGATTTTTTAACACGAGATGCTTGTATTTAGAGATGTGCTGCTTATAAAATGCAACAGTATTTTAAAACCAAGTAGATGATTGTATGTAGATATTGTGATGAAAGACAATTTTTTTTTACTGGAGGGCTGAGGTATGGGAAAGGACAGAGTTAGGGGTTAATGATGAGAGAACAGGCAAAGAAGCAGCATTGAGTCACAGTAATCTTGTGGGAGTTTTGGCATTCTTTAGAAAGATAAATTTTCAGGTAGGATAGATTTAAAACAATTTTTTGCTGTGTGAGGTGTTGAGATGCATCCCAGTTTGGAAGATGGAACGAAAGATTATGGCTAGAAACACTTACAGAACAAAGTTGGCAGTCAGTGTCATAAAAAACTATTTGAATGACTAACTGGAAGAGAGTTTGCAACTAAGAACCAAAAGTAGTTAAGAGTAATGAATTTACACCTATAAATTTTTATTTTAAGAAGTCAGAAGACTTGCTGTAGTGTGGCTAGTTTGAAGGTAAATTTTACCTGTGAGAGTGTGGATAAGGGATTCATTAGAGCAAACAATTAGATAACAACTACACAGTCAAGTACTGGAAAGGTTTGGCTTGTGGAAGGTGAAATTCTGGTGCTCAGAGGAGGATCATATTAGAATTTGTAGAGGACTTCATATTTTATCATCTTATGACTTCAGTGCATTAAAGTCCTTGTAGACATTATCATCCAAGTAGCTTAGTGTGCAGCAGTAAATTAACTATGTACTTTCCTTAGACACATGCCAGGACATACAAGCAGAGAGATTTTGGTAGTCTTCAGCAGCCTGACGACATGTGATCCAGCCAACATCTATGATTTAATTAAGGTACAGAATTGTAGTTTGACGACTGCATTGAGCATCCAAGCTATTAGAGTAAAAACAGACAATTTCAGTGTCATCACCAATTAATTTTCATTTAAGACTTTTTACTAATTTTTGTTCTGCACATGAATTTGAGTATGCTTTCTTTTTCTATTTGAAGTGTTTAAAAGCAGTTAAGATCAGAGTATCTGTCATCGGCCTAAGTGCTGAAGTTCGAGTCTGTACAGTACTTGCCCGAGAAACTGGTGGTATGTATCTGAAGTTCAGTAGTTATATTACTAACACAGGTTTAAAATCAAAATTAAGTAACTGTTTTATAAATTCATTAATGCATTTTGATATTTGAGGATGAATATTTTCCATTGTGCTGGCAGAAAATTCAAGGGTTTCCCAAATCTATGAAATACACAGTAGTAAGTGAAATTATTATGAGCTGGTAGCTGCAGCTCTAGAGAGAAGAAATAGATATATTTTCAAAACTACTGTCCCACGTATTAAGCTATGTGATGGGGAACTTAAGCAATGTAACATGTTAATATTAATTGCTGCACTGGTAACTTTTACAATATCATTACTACAGTGTAATGTTGGGGAAAAAAGCTATGGGCCTTCATGTCTAATTTAACATTCTGGTGTTACCAAATTCACAGCTTGTCAGTTTCAGTAGCATTAGTAGGGCTAGTTTTTAGGAACGGGCTTAGATAAATTACTTTTTCTACTTAATTTGTTTTCTGTCATTTGGGGTGTGTGTTTGTATTCTCAGCTGCTCATAACCTGCAAGTAAGGCATTTGTTTCTTTGCGACAGGAACATACCACGTGATTTTAGATGAAAGTCATTTTAAGGAACTGCTGATGCATCATGTTAGTCCTCCACCTGCCAGTTCGAGTTCTGAGTGTTCCCTTATTCGAATGGGTATGGTACAGTTTTGTTAAACTCTGAGCACAAGATCTGCTCTGTCTTTTTATTTCTTTGCATCTTCTGTTTTAGAGCCTTACAAATAGTAATAAGCTTAATAAAGACATTGCAGAATTGTTTTTTTTTTTTATTTTGACTTGTATTTTGCTAAAGAAATACAAGTTTTCTTGATGTTGTTCCTGCAAAGGAGTCAGCTTTAAATAAAACTAACAATTAAAAAAGAGAAATTACTCATCAGAAGTTGGGAATAATAAAGTGGAATGATATTGCTTGTAGAGTGATTGTTATAAATGTACTACTTAGAAATGAAGGATGAAAAATTATTTTGTTTCTCCCTATTTTTTCCCTGCAGAAGGCAACTGTCATAACTATTAATTGATTGTAAGAGCCATATGTTTAGCCATGTAGTACATATTTGTGAGGAGCACTGTTGTGGTGTTCTTTCAGCAAGTAGATTAGGTGCCTTTTCTTCTCCTGATGTGTTTCTCAATAAATTTAAGCTTGGAGTTAAACCAAAATAGGAACTATAATGCCACAAAGTAGAGCATTGAGTTCTCACTTTCATCCACCCCTTTCACAGAGAGACATGTATGTATTTTTATGTGTAGATATAAATACTGAAGAGGTTTACTTGTTATGGGTAAAGCCTGAGGAGCAGTTGGGAGAACCAACTGTCCATTTGTCATGAGCTGTAAAAAATAAGTGGTAGAAAGAAAGGTGTCTGTTACAGTCTCCATAAAATGCTGTAGTGTTATCTGTTGTATACTGCACTTGGAAGATGAATATAGGCTTGGTGTCTGCATATATAAAAATATTTTCCCCTTAATTAGAAACCAGTGCTTAAGTGAACATTCATGTGGTGCTTATTCTGCTTTCCTACCATTGCATATAGTTTTCTTTTTCACTGTTCTTCAGAAATGGGGTTCCAGGAGCTTCAGTTAATACAAAGTCTATGAAAAGACATTTTTTCAGTTGGGGAAAGTATGCTGAGGGATATGTGAATGTAGGTAGAGACCTTCAGGGAGAATTTGATACCTAGTAAGAGTGTATTATTTCTACTGTAATAACAAACAAGAAGGAGATAGGCCTTAATATTTAGAATAGTCTTTGAACTTCTCCACTAAAATATGAAACTGACACATTACTTGCATGTGTAAAATTGTTAATATGGGCTGTTTTTCTCTTCAGGTTTTCCTCAGCATACTATTGCTTCCCTGTCTGATCAGGATGCAAAGCCCTCCTTTAGCATGGTGTAAGTAGAGTTAATTAGAATTCAGTGAGCTGATAAGAATTCAGTATCAATTAGTCATATATTTAGAAAATATTTACAGTGAAAATATTGCAAAATAACATGAAAAAATAGCAAGCAATGTCTTGTGACTTCTCAGCAGATATTTTATTTTCATTTGCACATCCTGTATGTGACCATAGTTACCTCTGTTAAATATGCTTTTTAAACTTTGCATTTAAATTTTTGGAAGATGGTAAATGGTGCTTAGTTGTGTTATACAATGATTAGGGCAAAAGGGTGCTACACGGTGCTAAAGTAATTACTGCCAATTTTATGTGCAGTTCTTCATTTAGGTATTATTATCATTATAAAAGATAATTATTAGGATGAAGGATATTATCTGAATAAAGTACTTTTTTATGTGTTTCCTAATGTAACTTTAAAGGGAAGCTTAAAATACAGGCCTTATTTGATTACTGTATCTGAGCTCTTCTTAATGAAAAGAATCATAGTTTTCAGGGCTGATATAGGAGTCTGAATTCTCAGAAGGAAACAGTGTCTGCTATTTGAAAGAATAAGTACACTACCATGCAGCTTACAGTCCATACAGAATATTTTTGTGCCAAAGTAGGAATAGCAACGCAGTTGTCACTCATAACTTTACTTTTTAAAGATACATTCGCGCCTTTATGTGAGAAAATTTGGTCTTTGTTCTGTTCTTTTGGAAAAATGTGGTTACTGATACCTCCTCGTGTCAGATGCTTTCTGACACACATGGAACTGTTGCGTGCAATCTACTGAAACTTGAAATTATTTGTTGTGAAAACTGTTTAATATTTGTAGTTAATGTAGTAGTATGGTGTTACCTCTTAGGTACTGAATTGTTTCTTTCTACTGTAGGCAATTGGAAAACAACAGTGAGCCCAGTCTCACACTGGGTGGGTATTTTTGTCCCCAGTGCAGAGCCAAATACTGTGAGCTTCCTGTGGAATGCAAAATCTGTGGTAAGTAGCAAGAAGAGGCGAGTGGATGAAGTAGGAGTTAGTGGTAAGAGAGTTAAGGGGTAGAAAAATTCAATTACACTTAGGAATTAAAAGCAGTTCTGCTTTTAGGGTCCTGCATTCCTGTGACCTGGGATGCCAACTTCATACGAGGGATGTTTCAGGATATACCTGCAACAGGAAACCTGTGTCATATCCCCTGGTGTAATGTTACAAAATAAAAACCCTAAAGCAAAGCAGGGAAGAAGGATGATCCATATGTGAATGGTAATTTCTCGAGAATCCGGATTTAACAGACACACTAATGTTCCAGGCTCCTCAGTGCAAGGCTGTGGAGATAGAATGCTTTGGAGTAAAAAGGCAGAAGACCTCCGACCTCCAGGAGTATGTGAATGGAAGATTTCCAAGTAGACCCCAAGGGTAGGCTGCACAGTGACATATGGCAGGCCTGTAGAGTTGTAAATGGAAGCCCTTCGGTCTTGCAAATGTTAATGGACTGTGCAACCAATGATTCCTCCCCCTCTTGCCCTTAGTGAGGGTGGGAGGGAGGATTAGCATGTTTTATAGTATTAATAGTGTGAGTGGTGCTGTCCTGTTAGCTTCTACTGGCATATGACTGAAACGTGATAGGTATTACCAAGATGTGTGTATTTGGCAAGAGGATGAAATAATTACAGTTTTGGGTCACTTTATCCTATTTTAATTTCAAGTTTTTCATACAAGCATGAGTTGGGTTCCAGCAAGGGAATAGTGTAAAAGAGAAATCCTGTATCAGCAGTGGATTCTCCACAGCTGCAGGGATCAGGCAGAAGAGGAGCTCAGATGCTTAGACTGCATGTGAATGAGTGGTGATGTTTGTGCCAGCCCAAGCCCCAGCTAACCTGTTCTCGTGGTCTGACCCCAGCTGGCAACTCAGCCCCACACAGCCACTCAGTCCCTCCTCCCTGGTGGGATGGGGGAGGCAACTGGAAGGGTAAAAGTGAGAAAATCATGGGTTGAGATAAGACAATGTAATATATACAGGAAAAGCTGTACATGCAAGCCAAGCAAAATAAGTAATTAATTCACCACTTCCCATTGGCAGAATCTCCAGGAAAGCAGGGCTCCATCATGGGTAACAGTGAGGGGAGAAGATAAATACCATCTCTCTGAATGTTCTCCCCTTTCCACCTTCATCCAGCTTTATAGGCTGAGCATGATGCCATGTAATGTGGGATATCCCTTTCTTCTGTTGGGGGACTGACTGGCATCCTGGCTGTTTCCCCTCCCAACTCCTTGTGCACCCCCAGTCCTACTCACTGGTAGGGTGAGAAGCAGAAAGGGCCTTGGCTCTGTGCAAGCACTGCTCAGCAGTAAGGAAAACAATCCTTTTCCCAGAACAAATCCAAAACACAGCCATTTGCTTGTTAGTGTGAAGAAAATTAACTGTTAAAACCAGCAGACCTGTGTCAGCTGAAACAGGACTATGGTGTGCTTTTGGCAGTATTACAGGAGGCTGGAGTAGAGCATTTTAGTGATGTGATACAGCAGAGCCATCATTGCCAAAGAGGAGCTTCCTAACTTGACCACTATGCATTGTAAATGTACTTCTAAAGATGGAGTTAAACCCTTTCAGTAGAAATTTGAGTAATTTGCTTGTTCTTTATGTTTGGATTTAAATCTGGAGAGGATTACAGCTTTGGCTTTTAGAATCTAACGGAACAAATAATTTTAATTTTTTAAATTCCTGAAAGCTTTGAACCACTGAGTAATTTAAAGTATTTTTTTTTTTCCTTTTGACTGTATTTTATACAGAAAAGCTTTTCAGTAAGTTCTCTCTTGTAATAATTTTGATGTCTCTTTATTTGCAGGTCTTACACTAGTGTCTGCACCTCACCTGGCTCGGTCATACCATCACTTGTTTCCTTTGGATGCTTTTCAGGAAGTTCCCCTGGAAGAATACAAGGGGGAACGGTATGCAAATCATATTTATGATAATGAGTTTACTTGTGGATCCTGTAATTTTTTTGTCCCCAAAGTAAGAATAGCTGGCAGCAGCTACTTTGCTGATGGAGACACTGAATGTTTGTGTAGTTTTAGGCACCTCTGGCATTAAGAAATATTTGTAGTTCCCATCAACAGTTATGAGTTCAGTTGAATAGCTGAAATAATTGCCATGAATTGTTGCTATGTATAAGATATTTTTTAAACACTGATTGACTCTTTTTTCAGTTAAAATAACACAGTTTTGCTTTCAGGTATTGTCAAGGCTGTCAGGGAGAAATGAAAGATCAAAATGTGAGTATGTTGAGCTGAATTGGAATTTGCATTGAGGGTTTGAGAAGCAGAGGTGATCCTTTAGTCATCTTAAGTATATATAAATATGTATATATTTGTGGATGTTTATGTCATGGTTAACTGGTGTTCTGTGATAAAGAGCCACGCTTTTTAGACTGAAAAGTCTATGAAAGTGTGGGAAGGGATTTCCTAGGAAGCTGCATAAAGAAGCTTCCACTCTTAGCCATGTGGAAGCATCTGCAATGACCTGAGCTCAGCCCTGTGGATATACTTGCTGTTAGAAACTTTAAGTTCAGTGTTTCAGAGTTGCAGTGATGTTAGCAACACTGTTTACACTGTCTTCGTGACACAACTGCTGCCCTACTGCAGTGCTATGATGGTGATAATTTTTTTAAATTTGACTTGTTTTTCTATCCTTTCCACACAGGTTTACATATGTAAAGTGTGTCAGAATGCATTTTGTGTGGAATGCGACCTGTTTGTCCATGATTCTCTGCACTGCTGCCCTGGCTGTATTCACGAGCATCCTGCTCCCATATCTGTATGACACCATGTCTTTGAGAAATTGTTTTATTTATGTCACTCTTGCATGAATTTTTTTTGTTCAGACATTTTATTTTTTTCATTCAGACAGTTTTGTTTATTCAGACATTATTTTAACTGACACATCTCAGAACAACAAGATGGTTAAAGAGGGATGATGTGCTGGTTTAAAGGTAAACCAGCAGGGGAAATGAACTCAACTCAAAAGAGAGATTATAAGTCAGAATAACAATTTAATAAAATAATACAATAAGTACAGTTATACAGAGAAACAATTGGTTTTAACCCACAAAACCCAAATGTATAACCCAGCACCCTGGGGCATGAACAGAGTGGTGTTCTTTGGGCCCTGAGTCCAAAGGAAAAGGAGAGGGGAAAACCTGTTGGTGAGAGTGCTGTTGCAGTCTGGTCATGAGTGGTGGTTGCAGTCTGGTTGAAAAGTGGTGATTGCAGTCCAATCGAGAGTGGTGGTCTCAGTCTGGTTGAGAGCGGTGATCTGCAGTCTTCCTCTGGATCCCACGAGTGGTTAAAAAGGTCCCAAGACTCCAAGATTATATATCTTCCAGTTCAGGCAGGAATGTCCAGTACCTCCCTCAGGGCAGGGAGTTCCACAAAGGGTGTGAGGACAGAAGCACCCTCCTATCTCACAGGCCTCTTAGCACCTAGTTTATAGCCTGAGAAGTCAGGCTCTATGTGCAGATGGTGTAAATGGTTCGTTGATAACAGTTTCTGGGAAATGGCATGGAAGGCTATAGAATACACAGTTTTGGATTACACCCATCCAGTGATGAACTGGTCTCAGCTGTCCTAACTAGGACAGATGGGCTCAGTATTGAAGAGAGATGCTATTTGGTTCTGAGGCTTCAGTGAATTGACAGAACTACAGATTTTCTTCTGGGCTAAACCCCCACAGCAACAGACAGTAAGGTGGGTGGAGAAGGGGAAGCGTGTGGTCTTATCTGAACATCAAAAGAATAGAATTGAGACTAAGGCAAAACTCTTGTCATGTGCTACACCTCAGGAAGAGGTTACAGGTGCAGTGTCTGAAGCAGTAGGTCATACCTGGTTTTCTTGTCCTCTTATGATTGTAAACACATCAGTGACTGAGTTACTCTGGATGTATATGAAATATAACTTGATTTTTTTAAAGGGTGAGCTTTGTTGTCGGGTTAGAAATGGCAGTATAATCACTGAGTCTTAAAACTGCAAACAAGCAAAAAAATCGAACCTCTATCTTAAGTTAGTTCCCTGTTTTTCATGCTCACCACATACAAACAATGCACACTACATTTCAGTTCTCACAGGCAGTTTTAAAGTCTGTTAAATATGAAAATTCTCAATTGTGAACGTAGCTCTTTCTGTGCTTTTTCTACCATTTACGCCCGCAGGCTGGATAGAAGGCAGTCATTCTCTTGTGTTGGCAGAAAAATGATTGTTCACCTGCATTTCATTTTGTGCTTAGTCAAACAATCCCTATAAAGCCTTTGTGCTATGCCTATTACTGTAAGAGTGTCCTTAAAAAATAGCAGAAAAAGGACATAGCCCTGGGGTTTAGTGGGGTCTAGGAGGTCATTCCAAGCCAAACTAATGCCCTGAGCAGCTGGCTCTTAGACATTCTGATGCTGGTGACAGTGCCTTGAGACAGTTTTTTCTGGTAATATTTTCATCTTTGCATTCAGCACTTCCTAATGGAAAATAAGGTTTTGTCTGAACACTTCAAATCCATTCTAGCTTTTTCTCTTACTAGATACCAGAATAACATACTCCTACACAGCTTCTATTTCTGAAAGCAAAAGCTGTGTATGAAGTTGTGGGCCTATACTCCATTACCTGCTTGTGGTCACAGCAGTAATTTGGTTTGTACTTTTCTACCGTTCTCGTTGGAAGAGCAGTTCAAACCAGCTCCTGAAAAATCACTGCTGGGGCAGTATTTCTCTGATGCCTGAAGAATTTCAGCTGTGTACTGTGTATTTAAAACAGCATGGAGGGAATTTTCCCATCACCTGTTCTCTTTTTCTGGCATTCACTGGCTGTCAGGTCTTCTTTGCTTCTGGGAAGCTCCAACCTTCTTAATTCTCATTATATCCCTATTTACTGGATCTGCCACAAGATAAGTTAGTCAGTGAGGTTATTAGCAGGCCTGTTAGAAATTCTTGGTAGTTCTTGAAGATGTTGCGTAAAAGGTTTTGGACATAAAGCGTTGAGGAAGAGACAAAAGACCAAAATATTCCGTGGTGGGATTGAGGACACAACTGCGGCAGTAAGCTCAAGACTGGAGTGTGCTGCCGTTTGGAGTGCAGGGGACTTCAGAAAGGTGAGTGCCTTCACTTTCCTTCCACTTTATACTTTCCTTGTGGGAATAACAGTTGCCATCTGTAATAACGATCATAACTAACATCCAAGACTGGAAGTGCTAATAATATATTAAAATATGAGTAAAAGAGGAGTCGACAAGAGAAGCAGGTGGATGATCAAAGGAGGCTGTGACCCCATGGAGAGCCTGCACCTGTAGCAAGCTCCTGGCAGGATCTATGGCCCTATGGAGAGAAGAGTCCTTTCTGGAGCAGGTTTGCTGGCAGAACTTGTGACCTTGTGGAGGACCCATGCTGGAGCACCCTATTAAAAGACTGCACTCCATGGAAGGGAGAGGGCATTTGTGCCTCTTTAGCAATGAACAGTTGCTGAACAGATGATTTAGAAGCTTTGTATCACTGCAATCAATCTTAATTTACTTCAGCTAGACAATGAAGAAAACACCTTCAAAGTAGCTTAGCTAAGTTATGATTAAGTTTTTATCTTTTTTCTTAATTTGTGGGAAAACTGATTCTCTCTGACACTTGACCACAGTAGGAGGAGGAAGTGAATGCAGTAAAGTTGAGGCCTGTATTTCCCTGAAAAGCAAATCACTGGCTTTAACTAAATTACTGCCTAGTTTTGTGCCTACAGCCTCTGCTCTGCAAGAGTAGAATTGTAGACTAGAATTCAGCCCTACATGGTAAGTGATGCAACCTGTCCATAATTAGCATTACATTTCAGAGAGTCTGCTTTTTCTAATTTATTTTTAGTAATGGTACTCAGGAAAAGGCAACACAGCAAGACTTCCTGATATATTCCAGCCATTCATCCAGCCAATAAAAGTCTACAGAAGCTAAAAATAAAACCACCTCAAAACAAACCACAAAGTTTGAAAAGTAGAATTTTATTAACAAGCACTTGAAACAAGAAATTAGTCTTTCTGAATAAAGCTGTCATATTCATGATTCTAATCAGACCCATAAGATGTCTGTGTTAATATGAGAGTACAGTTTTCTGGGCCGTTACAGTGGGCACTCTAACACATTGCTGCCACAGCTCTCTCTTTTGTAAAAGAATATTTCATAATCAATGGTTCTGGTGCTGTCATTCAGACAAAACGTCTGAGGAATACAAGAGGTGTTAGGATGACAGATAAATGAAATCTATCACGTGGGATCAAAAAGGTTAAATCTGTCATGTGGTAAGAAAACTTGAAATTGTCTCAGGGAAGTAAGAAATACTTTGTTGCTGCAGTCCCTGCTAAATACATTTGACTGGAGGGCTTAAAGAAATGGCTCATTTCAATGTACATTTACTCACTAGTAAATGAAGTTACTGAAGGTATTTCTTTACTCATTAACAGGGGCAGCTCAGTGTTAAGAAAACATGACTAATTGTCTTGATAGAATTCTGTTCTTCACCATCAACCATCAGTTGGTGATACAGTGACATACACCTCTCAGTGAGAAAGATTTGTACCTGGCTTAAAAAAAGAAGCAAAAATTAGTATAGAATAGCTTTTTCCTTTAAACACACAAAGAAGAATTACTCAACTACACAGAAATTACACGTTGTCAAGGAAAATCAGAAAACAAGTCCTGAAGAGAATATAGTTTTGTTTTATAAGGAAGTGAACAATACACAGCAGAATTCTGAAGAAACTATTTCAAATAAAAGCATGGGCACTAAAGTAATGAGAAAAGAACTGCTCGATAATATCAAACTGAAATATTAATCTTGTCCTGGAAACAGTTTAGCTACACATCTACTGGCTATGTAAGGAAACAGAGATGAAAAAACTGCATTTCACTTACAACCCTTTGTTTCCAAAACAGCCCACTACTAACTATTCATAATTCAAATCAGATGTACTGTTAATCCTGATGAAGAGAGATACTGTAGTTAAAACTATCAGAGCAATAAATACTTTCCTTCATTTTAGCTGAGAAAATACTATTCCACAGCTGCTAAGCAAAGAAGGGATTAACACTGGCAGAAGCAGTCTTTGTAGAGAGCTGTAAGAGCAGATGGAGGTCCCAAAGCTTATGGGATTCTGAAGAGAATTCAAAACAAGTGGATTCTCATTGACCGCAAAGTTGTGGTACTTACAATCCTTCAGAACAACGATGACATTCGGTCATTTCGCATGCGTCTGTCTCTCCATTGCTGCTTCCATTCGACTTTGTTTTAAACCCTACAGGATACAATTTAGGAAAATCTTGGGTTTGCTAACATGGAAATAAAAACTTTACTTGCAGAACAAAAATATTTCCGAACAATCTTTTTCGGTCCTTCACAAATCACAAATAGCTTTTAACTCTCCGTGGAAAGCAGTTTAAAAAAAGAGAGAAGCCAAACTACAATGTTCTTTATAATCAACCGCTCTACAGAATAATTTCAAATATGTATTTCTTGTTCAACTGTAAGTAGATTAAAGCAATCCACAATTACATATAATCTGAAACAAGAAATTCCCAAACTAGTCTTTTGAAGATATCCTATGGCACCAAACCCTCCCTTTCCAGCTTCCTCAATGCAACTCTTGACATCATTTTCTTTCTTCGTAAGTGTACAGAGGAAAATATGAATCAGTAATACAAGTCGCAGATTTTCACAACTATGCTGACAGCTTCTGCTGGGCCTCCACAACCAGATGAAACAAATACTTACGAAAAGTCTCTGCAGAAATGCCAAATCTGATCTTAAATGTGATACTACCACTCATACTCAAAGAAAATACATAGAAGACTACTGAATAATAAACATATTAACTCCACCTGGCTACAAAACCAGAACTGGTTGTTTCAGAATGGCTATACGGCAGTGGTTATAAAAGTACCTCATGGAACCAACCCCTCCAGCGGAACAAAGTACTACAACAACATTGACTATATATATATATATATATATATATATATATATATGCTGATTCATGTGACTCCTACTCAGTGACAACAATAC